CCCGAAGGCTGTTCACCTGATGCATGCTCACCCGAAGGCTGTTCACCCAAGGCATGCTCACCCAAAGGCTGTTCATCCAAGGTGTGCTCACCCGAAGGCTGATCACCAGAGACGTGCTCACCTGAGGACTTTTCACCTGAAGGCTGCTCACCGGCAGCATGTTCAGCCACAGCAGGCTCACCTGGAGCATGCTCACTCTCAGCATGTTCTCCAGAAGTGTGCTCAGCCACAGTGTGCTCACTTGAACCATGCTCACTGGAATCATGCTCACTTAAAGTGTTCTGGCCTGAAGAAGTCTCATATAAAGCCTCAGCGTCAGAAGGGTTTTCAAGTGAAAAGTACTCACCTGAAAGTTGCTGAACTGAAGCTTGATGATCTATGGAGCCAGAAGGCTCATCAGGCTGACCTGATGTTCCCGGGGTGGAGAAGGAACAGAAGAGAGATGGTGAAGCTGAGAGAGCTTCCTATGGAGTTAGGCTAATGTTATGAGACTCCTAGTTTTCCTATGGGCCTAGATCAGGCACCTGAAGACAGTGCAGATGTTGGGAGAAGTCAACTAAGTACCCCAAAAGACCATGTAGGACAGAAGTGTTTAGTGAATCACACAAAGGCCACCTCTGGGATTGAAGGGAAGAATCTTAAGTTCCCCAATATTAAGAACTACATAGGGGAATGCACTCATCCATGTAGCAAATGAACCTGAAGGAAAATGAATGTGCCTCCCTGACAAAATCAGCATCAGGAAGTCAATGTACTATCAATGAGGAAATCAGAAGTCCACCACCAACCCTCCCTCCCATTCCACTATAGGTGAAAGACAAGAAGAAGGGAGACAGAAGAAAGAGAGGGAAAGCAAGTAGTTTTCAATACCTGAGTATTTGTAACATAAATTAAGGGTAGAAGAGTTAATGTTTGGACATGATAAACTTTAAACTAGAAGATGGCAATTATCTATGAGCCCACAAAAATTATCAGAAGTGATAAAGTCACCTGTATTTGGTAATGTCAAGTTACTTCTCACACTGAATCCCCAGTCCATGTGGGCTGGGGGTTCAGAGAGCAAAGTTGCTATAAGCTATTAAGATAAAATAGCCTAGATAAAAAAAGTCTAGGCATATCAAATATATATATAAACACACACATATATGAATTGTATCCTTGTGACACACCATTTATACTCACTTCGTGGAGTTGTCATGAGTAAGATAAATTGTGAAGTGCACCATTGCCTAGTACTCAATTAATTTTAGTTTTCTTTTCTTCCCACCTTACACTGGGAATTACAAAACTCTTAGTTGGTTACTTTTTCTAACCAATCTCTTCTACCTTGAATCCTTTTTTTTTTTTTTTTTTTTTTTTTTTTCTTTTTTGAGATGGAGTCTCACTCTGTTGCCCAGGCTGGAGTGTAGTGGCATGATCTCGGCTCACTGCAACCTCTGCCTCCCGGGTTCAAGTGATTCACCTGCCTCAGCCTCCTGAGCAGCTGGGATTACAGGCATGCACCACCACACCTGGCTAATTTTTGTATCTTTAGTAGAGACGAGGTTTCTCCATGTCGGTCAGGCTAGTCTCAAACTCCTGACCTCAGGTAATCCAACCGCCTCGGCCTCCCAAAGTGCTGAATTAGTATAGGCATGAGCCACCGTGCCTAGCCGAGATTTTTATTTTTTTATCTTATTACATAAATACTATCTACTTAACTGAATATTCAGTAATTAAAAGTTTTGATAAAGAGATGTTTCTGACATAGGAAGGAGGTGTGAAAAAGCATGCTAATTTCTTTCTTTCTTGTTTTTTTTTTTTGAGATAGTCTCGCTCTGTCCCTAGAGCTGGAGTGCAGTGGGGTGATCTTGGCTCACAGCAACTTCCACCTTCCAAGTTGAAGCAATTCTCCTGCCTCAGCCTCCTGAGTATCTGGGATTACAGGCATGTGCCACCTTGCCTAGCTAATTTTTGTGTATTTAGTAGAGACGGGGTTTCACTATGTTGGCCAGGCTGGTCTTGAACTCCTGACCTCAACTGATCCACCCGCCTCGGCCTCCCAAAGTGCTGAGATTACAGGCGTGAGCCACACGCCTGTAATTATAAAACTATAAGATGAAGAAATTAGCATACCCAGATGCTAATTTCTTCATCTTACAGTTTATGACTCATTGCTTCACCACGTGACTGGCACATACTATCATCTGGTGGCTGTGTATCTACATTTTTGAGTCAACATTTGAAAGTCTAACAAAGCCGAAGCAAAACCTCTGACAGTCAACATTATAGAAAATACATTGTTATTTCGCTAACAGCTCAGAGCCCATGGCCTCTTTCTTCTCTAGGAGGCAGGAGGCAACACAGCCCACCGTGAATAGGGGATCCCAAAAGAAGAGATGATACAGAAAACTGGATTGGTAGAACACAGCCATGAAGAAGCTTACAAGGTCTCCAGCCTACAGCTCTGCCGTGTTCTGAGATTATTTTCTGAATACTTCACATCTTCCAATCTCCTGTCTTTCCTTGGCACATTAACGACACAAGGATACCTCACATTTAATTGGTGGGACAAACCTTCATTGGACTTCTACAGAACCCCTAGGCCTACTCTTTCATCTCACGCACATCAGGTATAAATGTTGAGTGTCTAAAATAAGTAGAATCAAGACTGCACCAAGCCAGTGGGCCCCTCTGACTGTAAAGCTATGACTAGAGAAATCAGCTGGCTCAGGAGCTCTCAGAGTTGGACTTGTTTAGCTGCTCTTGATTCTGAATCAGATTGGTTTGGGTGGATGAGAGACTGGTCTTCCTTTTTCAAGGGCTGAAATGTCTTAAGGGAGACCCCTTTTTGTATTTACCTGAAGCCTAGACTGAACACTCACCTCTGGCAGATCCAAGCAGATAAAGGCTCATTAGTAAGAGAAACATGTTCGTTGGGATTTAGGAAAAGATGGGATCCTAGTGCGGGGCACAGCTTTTCACAGAGCTATGGGGAGAACTGCGAGCAAAAGCTCCCAGTGCTGAAGCAGAGCGTCTGGGAATTCTAGAACCTCAGAAGTAACCCATGTTTCTTCACAATAGGTTGGGTTCTGAGGTTCTTATGTAGCCTCTTCAGGCAAATTGGTCTTTAGCCACCAACTGCTAATTTCACTAGTGAAGACCGATGAGTATTTTCTATGTGCAAGGTGGTGTGTTGGGGCTGTGCGCCTTATCTTTAAAACAAAAAAAAAGTATTACCAAAAAGCACATATTTTTTGTAATAAAGTTTAAAAGATATCTACTCTCTTTTAAAAGTGCTTTTGACAATGAGGTAGGATTGTTGATTATTTTCTGTTTGGCTTTCTAAATCAGCCTTTCTTGGCTCTGATCTGCACCCTGGAAGGCTGACCTCTGTTGACTTTATCACCTGCATGCTAGTTGAACTTCTCTTCCAATTGAGTTTAGACAGGATTGGAGGGGAGAAGAGAGAGGGAAAGGAGGAAGGAAGGGAGGAATGGGAAGAAAGAGAGAGAGATTGGAATATTTGTTCTTTCTACTCCATTCCTGCCTCAGTTGACACTGGCTGAGTCTCTACATGACAGCTTCTGATGGGTGTCCTCTCTTCCATGGCTCCAGCTCTCATCCATTCTATGGTAATATGTTTTCCTCCCCCTGCCTTCTTAGGCCTAGTGATGATAATGGTTTCCTGCTCTTACTAAAACCTGGATGCCCTAGCTTTTCTCTTTTTTTTTCTGTTTCCTTAACCTTGTCCACTTCTGTAAATAGTCTTCATACAGACCTTTATCAACCATGTTTTTAGCAGGAAACAGGTGGAACTCAAAATGGATAACTGAGGAGAGTTTACACAGATATGGGCAGAGTAAAGAGATCAAGAGATAGTAGAAAGCTGTGTTTTGACCTGCAACTTCTACCAAGGGGGTGGCCAAGCTGAGAAGATGGATGCATTGAGGCTCCCACCTGGGATAAAACTAGAACTCATGGGGGATTGGGTGGTAAAGATCTGGCAGCTTCCATTTCTTGCTGCTTTCGGCCCAGCTCTCTTGAACAGCTTTATTTTACATACCACTGAATGCTAGATCTAGAATAGATGTACATTGTTAACATTTTAAAGGAAGGCAAGGGTCAAAGAAAGAGGAAATGGTGGCTCTACATCAAATGCAGGCTTTCTGTCCAGCATAAGACTTACAGAGGTGGGGGACCAGCTTAATGCCAGAGCCCACCGCTTCTTACAGGCTGGGGTACTTGTAGGTATGAGTAGGACAGGTGTGGGCAGTATGGCTTGCTGCCTGGGAAGGTGTTGATAAGATGTTCCCATAACGAGGCAGGTTGGCCCTTGTTCCCGCAGAATGTGATGTTGACGTTCCTTGGACTTTTACTCAGCAGAATGTGATAAAGTCAGGCAGGCAGTTGGGCAGGCTATTTCTAAGGGCCCAAAGCCCAGTGGAATGATTCACTTTGGCCAAGGTCTGCAAAATAGCAGGGGGTTTTCAAAATGGTGCACTGTTATCACTGTTAATACTTACCACTGTTACAATTATTTGTTTCATGTTTGTACCCCCCATTGGACTCTAAGCTTGAATGCAGGGACCCTGTCTTGATCACTGTTGTCATCCTAGTACCTAGCAGCATGCCTAAGCTTTTCCTGAATGAAGGAATGAATGAATTGCCTTTTGGGGCCTCTCTCTGCCTCATAGATGAGAATTTATAGGGAATCATATAAGAAAATCTGTAGAAGAGAATCTGGATTAAGTTTCTGCATCAGCTGATGAAAGCAAGATCACCAGGGGTGAAAAGTTACTTGGCTTGAGTTGTAGGGTACAACTAGGATTTCTCCTTCAGAGGAGCCTCAGGCAGGTTCCTCTGAAGTACAGAAAGGTATGAAAGAGTATGCTATCAATAATTATTTTCCTCCAGGTTGAGTGAGTTTGGAAGAACAGCTATGAGATCGCATTGGGTCTGACTCTTGTTAATGGCAGCAGTAGAAATTTTAGTAGAAGAGAAGAGGTGCTATCTATTCCACCCTAACTTAGAACATAGAAAGACAGACCGTGACTCTGGAGAGCTGATGCTTTCAACTGAAAAAAAAGTTGTTTTAAAAAAATTCCCTATGCAAATTTGCTTCAAAATAACCTAAGTGGGGGGTTATAGCAATGAATGGGGAAAGAAGGTAAAATAAGGCTAGGTGCCGTGGCTCACGTCTGTAATCACAGCACCTTGGAAGGCTGAGGTGGGAGGATCACCTGAGGTCAGAAGTTCAAGACCAGCCTGGTCAACATGGTGAAACCCCATCTAAATACAAAAAAAAAAAAAAATTAGCCAGGCTTGGTGGTGGTCACCTGTAATCCAAGCTACTTGGGTGGCGGAGGCAGGAGAATCACCTCAACTCAGAAGGCGGGACTGCACCATTGCACTCCAGCCTGGGCAACAAGAGCGAAACTCTGTTGAAAAAAAAAAAAAAAAAAAAAGAAATAAGATTGGTCCTGTGTGCATGATTGTTGAAGCTGTGTGATGGGTACATGGGGGTACTCTCTACTTCTGTATATGTTTGAAACTTTCTATACTGAAAATCTTCAGAGTGGAGGGCAGAAATACCTATTTGGAAAGCCTAGATAATCAAGGCCTTATTTAAAATAGCTTCAGGGGTGATGGAGAAGTCTTCTCTAATATGTGTGCACATTAGGGCTTAGAAAGTAGCTTAACTGCTCCTTATTATACAAGTATCCCACACCCAGGGTCCACTTCCTGAACAGCCACACAGGTCCACTCTCAAAGGGCCTTGGTTTCATGATTTGCTGTCAATCTCAGGAAATTCTTCATCACTTTCTAACAAAGTTGCCTCATTTTTGCTTTGCACTGGGTCTCACAAATACTGTCTCCAGTCCTGCCTAGACCTCATTTTCCAGTCCCTTTAGGAGAATCACTGTCTGGTGTTAAAAAGCTTTGGCCTCTGCAACCAGGAAGTTTCCCTTTAGGAAGAGCTGGGGCACCCCTAAGTCCAGGCTGCTGACAGTTCCTCCCCTTCTTGCACTCTTCCCTACTTGATGAATACGTTCCTAGGTAAGTTTCTTTGTCCTCTGATTTTTAGTAGGCGCTTTTTCAGAAACATTCCTTCCCACCTCTCCCTCTACTCCTTAGATTTCTTCAGGTTTGATGCTTTGCTAGAAGGACTCGTAAGACTCAGGAAAGTGCTTTACTTATGTTTACCACATGATTCTAGAGGATACAGCCAGCACAGTAACAGCCACATGGAAGAGATACATAGGAAAGCTATGGGGGCAGTGGGGGATGCAGAGCTTCCATGGCCTCTATGGGTGAACCATTCTCCCAGCACTTCAGCATGTTCACCAACCTAAATGGTCTCTGAATCCTATTTGGAGGCTTCATTACGTAGGCAAAATTGATGAAATCATTGGCCATTTGTGGAGCCAAATTTCCTAACCCTTGAATCATGGGATTGGTTTCTCTGATGACCAGCCCCCACCCTGAAGCTATCTAGGGCCACTTGATGAATCATCTCATTAGCATAAAAAGACAGTTCCAAGGGTATTAGGATCCCTGTGCCAGGATCATGAGCAAACACCAAATAGAAATTTTTATTAGGATTGCCCTAAAGGAAGGCCTCAGTATGATTACTGTGCAGCAAGCTTGGAGGCAACCCTCCCAGACAAGGGCAGGAGAATGGGCAGTCCAAAGTGGGAGTCTCCAGAGAAATGGTAAAATAATATATTATTTGACAGCTCCGATGACAGCCATGTAAAAATGTATATTGAGAAGCTCTTGGAAGGTGGGGAAGGTGGGGAAGCTTAGAAGCATAAAGTTACTTGCGCAAATGATAATAAGGTAATTATTATTTGTAGGAAAAAGAATATAAAATCATGTAATAAAAAGTGTTATCTTGCTTGTGAATACTCTTTATATATCAGTCAGGGCTCACTTGCAGGACACAGGAGCTTGTCAGGTGACTTAGCTTCAGCAGAAAGGTATTAGGTGGGTGCGAAAGTAATTGAGATTTTGCCATTTTTTTTTAATGGCTGCCACCTCTGTAACAATCAGGAAAGTGACCATGGGGTGTCAGTCAGCTTCCACAGGAACTGTTGGCTTCAGGACACCACTATGTGAGCCAGGAATCAGGAGTGGGGTGCCACCAGGACTTTTAGCTGTAGATGCACTCCACGCGTGCTAGACGGGCATTGGCAAGACATGGTGTCTTGTTTTCCTTCTATCACTATTGTAAAGCTGGTACCTGGATCTAGAATGCTGCTTCTGCAAAAACAACAAACAAAATAAAAAACAAGGGGTGAGGCACTGGGCGAAGTGAAGGGTGGCCCAGGCGGGGCCAGGCTGACTGAAAAAATGGATACTACGATGCTGAATATGCGGAATCTATTTGAGCAGCTTGTGCGCCAGGCAGAGATTCCCAGTGAAGGAAATGAACTCCAATTTATCCAGTTGGCAAAGGACTTTGAGGATATCTGTAAAAAGTGGTAGAGGACTGACCATGAGCTGGGGAAATACAAGGATCTTTTGATGAAAGCAGAGACTGAGCGAAGTTCTCTGAATGTTAAGCTGAAGCATGCAGGTAATCAGGTGGATGTAGAAATCAGATGGAGACAGAGCTGAGGCTGACTGCAAAAAGCTGGAACGACAGATTTAGCTGATTTGAGAGATGCTCATGCGTGACACATCTGGCAGCAAAAGCGAGGAGCAAAAGTCAGCTCTGGGTTTTCTCAACACAGGCCAACCCTCCAGCAGCAATGCTGGGAACAAAAGACTATCAACCATTGATGAATCTGGTTCCATTTTATCAGATATCAGCTTTGACAAGACTGATGAATCACTGGATTGGGACTCTTTGGTGAAGACTTTCAAACTGAAGGAGAAAGAAAATAGACACTCTAGTAGCCAACCTTTTGTTGATGGTTTCTCTG